CATTCAGATGCTTGGCAACTGATTCATATTTATGACGGTCACAGTGTCCCAGGGTCATGTGAAGTGACCAAAACCTGCTGCAACCACCCAGCAGACGGGGGGAATAAAAACCAAACACCCCCCACCCCACCCCCGCTGCCAATCCTCAACAGAAATGCTCACAACAATGAAAACCTCGGACAGGAGGAAGAGCGCCACCAGGTGGGCAGGCAGGTCTCTTGCTCGGCTGTGGCTTGGAGGGCACTTTTTTCAGTGCCATTGTAACTTAGAACAGTCACTAAGCGAACTGTTGTAAGTCGAGGACTACCTGTACTTCATCACTTTTTTCCTTTTTTTTTTTTTTTTGGTCAAGATTTTGACCCCTTGCTAGGCGACTGGTGGTACTCGGATATTGCCATATCCTAAAAGTGGTACAATGGGTGAAAAGGTTGAAAAGCCCTGGACTAGCCCATCACCTTATTTACTTTAGAGGGGATTTGATATTTTTGCCAGGGTATATGTTTGAGTGGTTTAAACAGTTGGTGATTTTATTTAGACTAAGTCTCCTACTCTATCCTGTATAATAGAGGGGAGGGAATATAAATTGGACAGAAAAAATTATGATGTACAATGTGTAAAACAGATAAATTATTATTCTTAATGTATTTTACACATTCAGGCATGCAGCCTCAATTAACAGATTCTAATATCTCCCTCAGTCTACTGCAATTTTATCTGTCTGTCTGTCTGTCTGTCTGTCTGTCTGTCTGTCTGTCTGTCTGTCTGTCTGTCTGTCTGTCTGTCTGTCTCTCTCTCTCTCTCTCTCTATCTATCTATCTATCTATCTATCTATCTATCTATCTATCTATCTATCTATCTATCTATCTATCTATCTATCTATCTATCTATCTATCTGAGGGATCAAAAATGTGAAAAAGAAACAAATAGTTACCTTTCTCGCAATATAGCCATTGATGTTAAAGGGCAGGATTGGTCCAAAATTACCCAACTTGCTCTTGGGATTAAGACAGAACTAGAACTCACAGTCTCCCACTTTTTAGCATATTATCTTTAACCACTCCACCAGACTGTCTCTTAAATACAGTTTGGCTCACGCTAGTCAGCATTATGTATTCCCTCTCATATCCTTGGCTTTTGTTCTACGAATTGTTTTATTTTCACAAGGGAAAGCTTGGTACTGTTTAAACAACTGACCCTTTCTATTAATTCACTTGTTGACTAATGAGGTCCTAATGGCTGTTTGAAGTTGGGAGATCAATACAGTAAATCTGAAGAAAAAAAAAACCAGTTAATTAACTGGAACGGATGGCAAGGACTGCCACTATTGAACGGAAAGCGATTAATTTCCCTCTGGTGCTAATATGCAACCGAATAACATCGAAGATGATAAGGAGAAGAATACCAACAGGCTGTGTCTAACAAGTGCCTTTACAATGGCTTGGTAAGGCCACACTTGGAATAGTGGATCCAGTTTTGGTCACCGCAATGCAAAAAAGATGTTGAGACTCTAGAAAGAGTGCAGAGAAGAGCAACAAAGATGATTAGGGGACTGGAGGTTAAAACATATAAGGAACGGTTGCTGGAATTGGGTATGTCTAGTTTAATGAAGAGAAGGACGAGGGGGAACATGATAGCAGTGTTCCAATATCTCAGGGGCTGCCCCAAAGAAGAGGGAGTCAAGCTATTCTCCAAAGCACCTGAAGGCAGGACAAGAAGCAACAGATGGAAACTAATGAAGGAGAGAAGCAACCTAGAAATTTCCTGACAGTGAGAACAATTAACCAGTGGAACCACCTGCCTCCAGAAGCGGTGAATGCTCCAACACTGGAAGTTTTCAAGAAGAGACTGGACAGCCATTTGTCTGAAATGGTATAGGGTTTCCTGCCTGAGCAGGGGGTTGGACTAGATGACCTCCAAGGTCCCTTCCAACTTTACTATTATTAAGTGCTTCATAAATGGCGTTACAAGGGGAATCTTGAGAGCAACAGAAAACTTGTGACTTTTGGTCCCAGCTGGGATGGAAGAAGTACAGAGAATGGACGGTCCTTGCTGTCATGTGACAAAATGCATAATTGGGAGTATCTTGATTGACACAGCAGCCCTTCCTTTGGCAAAAAAATCGGCAGGGACAATGAACTGAAAATCATGCACACAACATGCTTAATTTTTCTATGTACAACTAGGTAATTTTACTGACGGGGGAAAAAGATGTTTCAAAGAAGGACAAGAGAAAAACCTCCTTGACAAAACCTGCCCTGATACAATCAAGCTGGAGAGGGGCAAAGTTGTTGTCGTTCCTTTTATTCCCCTCCCATTAGGAGTAGCTAATGTAGACCTAGCTTACCTTTCCCATGTGGGGAACCTATTTGAGAAGACAGGAAGATGTTGGGACCTATACATAAAAGATGACTTTTTGGCATTTGGTGACACTGAACTTTGTTGTTGGAAAAGCAAAATGTGCAGTTTTCTGTGTGGTTTTGGGGTATGTGTGGGCATACACGTGCGAGAGAATGAAAGAATGAGAGAGAATGAAAGAGAGAGAATGAAGTAGGGAGAGAATGAGACAGGGAGAGAATGAGAGAAAGAAAACAAGAGAGAGAATGAGATAGAGAATGAGACAGAGAATGAGAGAGAGAATAACAGAGAGAATGAGAGAGAATAAGAGAGAGAGAGATTCATATTTGAATGTTCCCCATCAATGCTTTTGTCAGCCAGGAAAACACAGCATTTTACATGTTTCGCCCTCACAAACTGGTAAAACACAGGGCTGCAAAGTACATAATCTTCCAGTAAATGAATGGTCAAAATGCCATTACTGTATATTTGAAAATGATAACATCAACAACAAAATTAGATCTTAGATCTTTTTTCTTTCTTTTTTTTTTTTTGGATTTGCAGGCCATTCTTTTTTTTTTTAAAAAAAAGATTCAGATCTTTGAACTCTTTTATGGAGTGAAGGGGACAAGTTTTAGAAGTCAGATTTTCTCAACCAATTCAGATTTATCTTATTTGATGAACTGGCCACATTTTTTTACTTGCAGCCCCTACCTTTTGTAGTAAGGGAATTGTGATAGTAATTTTGTAAACTGCCTGGAATCATCTATGCATGAGTTGGGCAGCTATATAAATTTCTTTAATAAACAAATAAATGTAAAATAAGGGTGAAAGGGGCCTTCAGGGTCAACAAGGTAACTCATGAACAGGGCAAATTAGATATCCTTGCTACCCTCCTTCTCAATAAACCAGTTTTCCCCTTGCCCACCCAACCCTCTAATCCAGGGCTTTTCAACCAGTGGTACGGGTACTACTTGTGGTACATTGGTACGCAACCATCCTAGAAAAGTGGTAGCGGGGGAGGGGAATGAGAGCACCGTGTCTCATGGCACTGTTTTCCATGCCATTGTAACTTCAAACAGTCACTAAGCGAACTGTTGTAAGTCGAGGACTACCTGTACTTTATCACTTTGTTCCTTTTGGAGGGGAGTCATCAAGTTTTTGACACCTTGCTAGGCGACTGGTGGTAGTCGGATATTGCCATATCCTAAAAGTGGTGCAATGGGTGAAAAGGTTGAAAAGCCCTGATCTAGAGAACCAGGAGAGGATGGAAAGAAAATTCCTCCCCAACAGGCTGGGTGTAATTAAACCCAAAAAAACAGAAAATAAAGCCCAAACTTTGGAGGTCACTTGGTCAGCAAATCTGTGACGGGTGATAAAAGTCAACTGGTCAATTCCAGCACTGAAAGAAAAATCAACTTCATTAACTAATGCAATTCTAACTCTAGCTAAACAACTTTCAGTCATCCAAGACTTCAGCCAATTGCTTCACACAGAACACCAAAAAGTCCTTTTGCCACAACTTGACAGAACCTCCTTATGTTCTTTTATAGATAGTCCTCGTCTTACAGCCATTCATTTAGCGACCCCTCGAAGTTACAACAGGACTGAAAACATGACTTATGACCATTTTTCACACTTATGACCTCCACATGGTCACGTGATCAAAATTCAGACGCTTGGCCAACTGGCTCATCTTTATGATATATTTATGGCGGTTGCAGTGTCACATGATCCTCTTTTGTAACCATCTGACGAGCAAAGTCAATGGGGAAGCCAGATTCACTTAACAACTATGTTACTAACTTAACAGCTGTAGTGACTCACTTAACAACTGTGGCAAGAAAGGTTGTAAAATGGAGGGAAAACTCACTTAACAACTGTCTTGCTTAGGAATAGAATTTGGGGCTCAATTGTGGTTGTAAGTCCAGGACTGCCTGTGTTAGTTCTGAAGGGTCTGGGAAACCAGGCTGGCTTTTGACTGAATAAGCAGCCCTACTGCATGTGTTTTGAGAAGTTGGAGCTCCCTACTGCACCTTTGATTGAGTAGGCTCGCTGCTACAGCTTTACTGCAAATGTACCCTGCAACTGGAGTAATGGCCCCCATGTTTAATGGTGATAACCAATGAGATGCTTATTCTCATCATGCAACATGACACTTTAGCACAGAAGTGGGAAACGAAGGGCCCTTTGTGATTATGGACTTCAGTTCCCTGCTGGTTCAAGAATTCTGGGAGTTGAAGTCCACAAGTTGCTCCAAGTTATTAAGAAGTTTACAAACCTCTTGCTCCTTCTTCAGTGCCTCCATGGCTTCTCGAAATTTCTTTTCCTTGGCCTCCATTTCTGCAATGGTAGCTTGGTTCTGCTCCTCGTAAGCCATGGCCACCACAGCCAAAATCAAGTTGATTAGGTAAAAAGACCCCAAAAATATGACCAGCATGAAAAAAAGCATGTAGATCTTTCCAGCAGATCTCAGAGTCTATATAAATGAGAGGGGGGGAGGGAGGGAGGGAGAGAGGAAGGGAGGGGAAGGGGAAAAAGAAAAAATGGGAGGGAAAAGAGATATTCAAGAGTTATTAGAACCATGCATGCTTCATCATAAACATTTGTGAATCATAACATTAGTGGATCTCATTGCATTTTCCAGAGATGACCAGCAACAGAGAAAGATGTCTTCGTGGATATACATACATACATACATACATACATACATACATACATACATACATACTTATATTTAAAAATAATAATGGCAGGATATAAATAAATATAATACATACATATTATATTTATTTGTATCCTGCCATTATTATTTTTAAATATAAGTCAAAGTGGCAAAGATAATTAATACATCTTCTTCCTCCCACAAAAACAACCCAATAAGGTGCTTAGGTTGAGAGAAAGGGACTGACTTGAAGTCCCCCCAGACAGTTTTTTCCCCTAAATGCAGGACTAGAAATCACAATCTTTTGGTGATTGGCCCAAAACCATCCAGCTGGCATTTATGCCTGGGGCAGGATTAGAATTCACCGTCTCCTGATAATTCGCTCAAAGCCACCCAGCCAGCTTTCATGCCTAAAACATGACTAGAATTCACAATCTTCTGGTGATCGGCCTAAAGTCACGCAGCCAGCATTCATGGTGGCTGGGACAAGATTAGAACACACAGTCTCCTAGTGATGGGTCCAAAGTCACCCAATTGGCTGTCTTGCCTGGGACAGAATTAGAACTCACTATCTCATGGGGATTGGCCCAAAGCCCAGCTGTTTTCATGACTAAAACAGAACTAGAACTCATAGTTTCCTGTTTTTTAGCATATTAACTTGACCACTAAACCAAAGTGGTTCTTACAAACAACTCCCATAGACTCTGGACAGCTTACAGCACAGAAACACGTCTGCCCATTTTGCAACCACATAGAAACTGTTTGCCAGTGTCTTTGTCTAGAACAGTGGTGGCGAACCTATGGCACACGTGCCAGAGGTGGCACTCAGAGCCCTCTCTGTGGGCACGTGCGCCGTTGCCCCAGCAGAGTTCGCCAGAGTAGCGAGCATGTGGCGTTTGGAAGCGACAGGGCAGGAAGTGAGCGAGCAAGCGGCATTGGCCCCCCAGGGATGCCCCAGAGATGGCAAAGGACTGGCCCTGGCCACGTACACCCAGTCTGCCATGACCACTGCAGCCACGCCCACCCAGTGGGCCACGCCCCCACCCCCCCCTGAGGGCACTACAATGCTGATGCAGCCCTGGCACTTTGCGATAAATAAGTGGGGTTTGGGTTGCAGTTTGGGCACTCGGTCTCTAAAAGGTTTGCCATCCCTGGTCGAGAATATGTTTTCAACTTTTGTGTTTAGTTTTGAGATTCCTGGTCATCTCTCATCCAAGCATTCACCAAGCTTATTATTTTCCAAGCTGAGACAAGATCTACCAAGTGTTGCCATCTGCTGAGACCCTGCAGGAAAGCCAAGCTATAACGAATAAACATGACAATAAATAAGCAGGCTACCTGTTGGTAGAGACGTTCCCAGCAGTCTTGAGTCATGAGGCGGAACAAGGAGAGAAAAGCCCAGCCGAAGGTATCAAAGCTTGTGAAGCCATGGTCAGGATTGTCTCCAGCCTTTAAACACCTGTAGCCTGGTGGACATGTGCTGCAGAAGATAAAGTAGATAGGGTGAGCTACACTATAACTACCTGCTTATCAACGGAAAGCACCTGAAGGCAGGACAAGAAGCAACGGATGGAAACTAATCAAGGAGAGAGAAGCAACCTAGAACTAAGGAGGAATTTCCTCACAGTGAGACCAATTAATCAGTGGAACAGTTTGCCTCCAGAAGTTGTGGGTGCTCCATCACTGGAGACTTTTAAGAAGAAATTGGACAGTCATTTGTTATTCTATTATTCTGAAGAACAACTCTGCTATTCTGTTATTCTGCTATTGAATATTCATCTCCCCTCCTCCCAATAAAAAACAAACAAAAAATGGACAAGCTATTTTTAAAAACCAGCTAACGTATTCAATGTCTAGTCCATAACATGCTATGCTCCTGTCAACACTACAAACGAATTTGGCTGAAGCTATTTTCCCTTTGTTTTTGGTTGCCACAGATTTGGGAGGGGCGGGAATGAGTTGTTTTTTTTTCTTAGTCAAAACAATAAATTGTTCTGTGGGAACCAAGGTCATTGCTGATTGCATTTTGACGGGCTGAAGCCTGCTCAAGTAGTTAATTGGGGAAAGTGATTTATGATATATTACTGGGGTGGGAAGTTCAACTTTGTAACATTGTAACCTTTGGGAGGGAACTTCAGTCTTGGTTTCACTTCTGATCTAGCAGATATTATGTAGCCAAATAAATATGTTCTTTAAGAAAGCTTTTTTTGCCTTGGGGTTCTCTTTTACTAGTCTCATCTGTTGGAACCGTGACAGCTGTATTCCAGAGCATGGCAATACAGAGAAAGACAAGGCTGTACTGTATAGTCCTTGACTTACAACCATTCGTTTAGTGACTGCTCGAAGTTACAACAGCACTGAAAAAAGTGGCTTATGACTGTTTTTCACACTCAAGACTGTTGCAGCATCGCCATGATCATGTGAACAAAATTCAGACATTTGGCCACTGGCTTGTATTTATGATGGTTGCAATGTGCCAGGGATCATGAGCTCTTCTGACAAGCAAAGTCAGTGAGGAAACTAGAGTCACTTAGCAGCCCTGTTACTACCTTAAAAACTGTAGTGATTCACTTAACAACTGTGGCAAGAAAGGTTATAAAATGGAGCAAAAATCACTTAACAATTGTCTCAATCAGCAAGAGAAATTTTGGGGGCCCAGGGAAACGGTAATGTAAATGCAACTGCAAACTTGATGATGTGTCAACTTTGATTCTTAGGATCAAAGTTAGAATTGAAGTTGAGACATTGTCAAGTTGCCATTTTCAAGAAACATTGCTCTAGTCTAGACAAACCAACTGTTAATTAAATATAATTAAACAGCCTGAATTTTGAAATACAAAGAAAAGGAAGAAAAATATTCTAAGACTGAATCATAGTCACATACAAGGCCCTCAATTATATTGGCACATAAATGAAATCATGGATAATGTATTATGATTGTTAAATAAATGGTTAGTCATGAGCAGATATTAAAGTTACTCAGTACAGCTATTCATTTATTTATTCGTCCTATTTATATGATTGCCTATCTCACAATCAAATGACTGTGGGTAGCACACGATAAAGATAAAAACAGTATAGACAAATTCATATTGATATTATTAAAAGCTTTAAAAATATAAAAGGCACATAACAAAAATTAAAAAGACACTGGGCAAAAAGCAGAGTTGATTACAGGTAGTCCTTGACTTATAACAGCTCATTTAGTGAACATTCAAAGTTACAATGGCATTGGATTTATGACCATTTTTCACACTTATGACTGTTGCAGCATCTTCATGGTCACGTGTTGAAAATTCAGAAATTTGGCAACTGACTCATATTTATAATGGTCCCAGTGTCCCAGAGTCATGTGATCACCTTTTGCAAACATCTGGCAAGCAAAGTCAAAAGGGGAAGCCAGATTCACTTAACAACCATGTTACTAACTTAACAACTGCAGTGATTCCCTTAATGACAGTGGCAACAGAGATTGTAAAATGGAGGAAAACTCACTTAACAACTGTCTCACCAACAGAACCTTTGAGCTTAATCATGGCCATAGGTCAAGGACTACCTTGTATGCTGGAGCCATTTCAGTATTTTGTCAGTCCACAAACATGGTTTAGGCCTAAGGACACAACCAGGTCTTCACAACAATAGACTTCCAGAAAGTCAGAGGAGATAAAGCCAAGCCCATTTTAGGGGGGAAAGGTTGATCCTAAAGCAGGGGCCACCACAAAAAAGGGGCCACCACTGAAGACTTTTCTGATATAGCTCCTTAGTTGATGGAACCTGCAACTTAGTTGATGGAACCTGCAAAGATGGAACCTCTTTGTTGAATCTATTCAGGACTGACCTCATTAAATGGAAACTGAAGAAATTCTACTGAAGCAAAACGGTTAACTGGAGACCTAGTTGTTAAATGAAATTGCAAAATACATATATTGTGACAGCCGTCTTCCTACATACATTCTGCTCTACAAGCAAGTGAGATAAACATAGATGATAGGCTAAGAAAGGAAAGGACGGTGAACGGCCAGCAAAAAAATGTGGCAGATATTGTAAGCATCTGGGTCGGTTTTAATCTCAAAGAAGAGGAACCAGCAAGCAGGCTTCATGACCTTTATGCTAGAGTCGTAACACATTGAAATAGGATAAGTGTTTTCCTGCTTAATTCTGGGTTTAGGTTGTGTTTGTAAGAATAGGTTACGGGCTCACAGCATTTTGGAGGTTTTTTCCTATGCCACTTCCCTCCTCTCTTTTCCCCTTCCGGGATCTGCATCTTTTTTTTTATTTTTATTTTTTTTATTGAAAAGTTTTATAAAAGTTACAATATATACCTCAAAGCATCTTTGAACTGCTATTTTATTTTCCCACAAAATAATCTGAGTGATGCTCCCGATGTAGCATCACTCAGAGGCATGATGGGAAATTCAAATGGTGCTTTGTATTCCATCCACCTAGTCAATAATAATAATAATAATAATAATAATAATAATAATAATAATAATAATAATAATAATAATAATAATAATAATAATAATAATAATAAAAGTTGGAAGGGACCTTGGAAATCATCTAGTCCAGCCCCCTGCTCAGGCAGGAAACCCTACACCATTTCAGATAAATGGCTGTCCAGTCTCTTCTTAAAAACTTCCAGTGTTGGAGCATTCACCGCTTCTGGAGGCAGGTGGTTCCACTGGTTAATTGTTCTGACTGTCAGGAAGTTTCTCCTTAGTTCTAGGTTGCTTCTCTCTTTGATTAGTTTCCATCCGTTGCTTCTTGTCCTGTCTTCAGGCGCTTTGGAGAATAGCCTGACTCCCTCTTTTTTTGGGCAGCCCCTGAGATATGCTATCATGTCCCCCCTTGTCCTTCTCTTCATTAAACTAGACATACCCAATTCCAGCAACTGTTCCTTATATGTTTTAGCCTCCAATCCCCTAATCATCTTTGTTGCTCTTCTCTGTACTCTTTCTAGAGTCTCAACATCTTTTTTACATCGTGGTGACCAAAACTGGATGCAGTATTCCAGGTGCGGCCTTACTAAGGCATTGTAAAGTGGTATTAATACTTCACGTGATCTTGATTCTATCCCTCTGTTAATGCAGCCTAGCACTGTGTTGGCTTTTTTGGCAGCTGCAGCACACTGCTGGTTCATATTTAAGTGATTGTCCACTAGGACTCCGAGATCCTGCTCACAGTTACTACTATTGAGCAAGGTGCCACCTATACTATACCTGTACATTTGGTTTTTCTTGCCTAAATGTAGTACCTTGCTTTTTTCACCATTGAATTTCATTTTCACCATTGAATTTCAAATTTCAAATAGTACTGAGGAAGTCACTCAGAATGTTAGGAGCCTGATTACAGGGAGTCCTCAACTTACGACCACAATTGAGCCCAAAACTTTTGTTACTGAGACATTTGTTAATTGAGGTTTGCCCCATCTTATGATCTTTCTTGGCACAACTGTCAAGTAAATCATTGTGGCTAAGTTAAGTTAGTAACATGGTTGTTAAATGAATCTGGCTTCCCCACTGACTTTGCTTGTCAGAAGATTGCAAAAGGGATCACGTAATCCTCGGACACTACAACCATCATAAATATGAATCAATTGACAAGTGTCTGAATTTTGATCGTGTAGTCATGGGGATGCGGCAACAGTTATAAGTGTGGGAAACGGTAATTAATCACTTTTATTAGCATTATCATAATTTCAAAAGGTCGCTAAATGAATTGTTGTGAGCGAAGGACTACCTGTACTAGAGAAATCACTCAGAATGTGAAGAGCCTGTTTACTTTTCCAGAGGATTGCCAGTAAAAACTGAATCTGCCCAAGAATCATATGTGGGTTCATTCAGCAGCTATAAAGGCATGCAGTTCATTGACTTTGGGATCCTGACTTTAGCCTAATTTAACCCTTCAATCAGAATCCCATCTGCAAGGATGTCACTTCCTATGTGACACAGGAAATTAGAACAATATCAAAAAGCACTAGAATCAGCATTGCTATTCAACATAATATTGTTCCTTGCCCTAGAATTAGTTGTGCTGGTTGTGTTCAGACAAAAACTAGATAGTCCTCAACTTGATCACACTTGAGACCCAAATAGAGGTCTGGAGGCTAAAGCATATAAGGAACGGTTGCTGGAATTGGGTATGCCTACTTTAATGAAGAGAAGGATGAGGGGGAACATGATAGCAGTCTTCCAGTATCTCAGGGGCTGCCACAAAGAAGAGGGAGTCAAGCTATTCTCCAAAGCGCCTGAAGGCAGGAGAAGAAGCAATGGATGGAAACTAATCAAGGAGAGAAGCAATCTAGAACTAAGGAGAAAATTCCTGACAGTGAGAACAATTAACCGGTGGAACAACCTGCCTCCAGAAGCGGTGAATGCTCCAACACTGGAAGTTTTTAAGAAGAGACTGGACAGCCATTTGTCCGAAATGGTATAGGGTTTCCTGCCTGAGCAGGGCGTTGGACTAGATGACCTCCAAGGT